GACGTTAAATTAAATATGAACAGAAAACCCAATACTTGAGTACGAGTACAAAAACCTATCTTGTGTAGGATTATAATTATAAAATATTAATCTTTACATTATAATTTTGCTTGGCAAGATATCCAAGGGACTCCTATCTTGTGTAGAATTAGAATTATAAAGTAATGAATTTATTTTATTGTTTTTCTTTATAGTATAAAGTCAATGTTCAATCTATAAATCGACAATAACAAAATACTAGTTTGTTAAATATATATAAATCCGCAATAACAAAATACTAGTTTGTTAAATCTATATATCTATACTTATATTAAAAGGTATCTCATTTACCAGATTTAGTATAAAGAAAAGTCAAAAGTAATTAATGTTTGCTGGAAATAGAATGACATTAATTACAGATTTATTTTGGTATTTATAGTTTGACATTAAAGATTTGTTATGGAATAAAATCAAAACAGATTTTTTTACCTTTGCTGGAAAAGTCCAATATAAGTATAGATTTTCTTTTATTCCATAATATCGGTTTAGTTAAAATAATCTCATAAAATCGATTTTAATGTCAAGCCTATAAATAAAGATTTAACCGATTTTAATAAAGCAGATTTAATCGGTTTTAATAATTACATAGAATTTCAAAGCTGTTATTTATTGTAAAAAAATTAAATTCTAAAAACACATTTGTGTAGATTTTGTAAAATGTTTGTACAAAATGTTTTACTTTAAATTTATTTACATAATTTAAATTAATTACATTAATAAATAATATGAACATACATTAAATATTTTAATTACATAAAACAAAAAGAAGAAGATTACATCTATAACTTATAATAATAATGACATTATACTACAATAAATTTTATAAGGAAATAATATAAGTATTATACGAGGAACAAGATTACGTAAAATTGTTATTTTTTATATCAATGAATAAATATATATAATAAAATCAAATTTGTATTATTATAAACATGTGAACGAGATAATATATTAATTAATTTACAGGCTAGCGCTACCAGACTCAAGTTTAATGTTCCGATAAAAAAATGGCGTTGATGAAAAGATGTAAAAAGATAGATGATCAAACTCTATTATTTTTTAGGCCTGAACGGACAAGCCCTATAGTCTACTCATTTAATATCTCCTGTGAATCGCACGTGCTACTTAACGGACAAGTTCTGTGTAAATAGCTCATTAATACTTATGTCCCGTGCATCGCACGGGCTACGTGCTAGTATATATAATAAGAATTAATATTTATTATAAATAGTAATAAGGAAAAGTCAACCCACATTTATTATATACTATTTTTAGCAATTTTTTTATTTTACATTTTAATTTTAATTCATTATACAAAAATTGGATAATTCTTAAATTAATGGGTTTTAGATGACGTATCCTGTTTCAAAAATTATAAATCATTTAAAATCAGATGGTTCCTAAATTAATGGTTACATACTTTTCAAAGTTGTAATCTTTATGACATCTTTTCTTTTTGACTGTTAATAATAAAATCATTTTAAATATATATGTTCTAATCCAAAAATTCAATCATGTTATATATATATACCCAATCAATTAATCTTGATTTTTTTTAAATTACTATGTTTATTTTTTATTAATATGCATAAAATAAAAATAAATAATTCATCTTTAGATATATAATTTATAATCTTAATATACTATCATTTGGTGTAGACATATGAATCATAAATTTTTTTTATTTCATAAAATTAAATATTAAATTTAAAGAAAGTAATGAAAATACTTTTGGATCAATCGGGTGATTGAATTAGGGTATTGCCCACGTTGATTGATTTACTTTTAGGTGATATTTAAAATAGTCAAAAAACTTGACATAACTTGGTTGGTCCCAGGTAACTAAGTTATATATCAGTTTGACCAGACCAAATCGATTATTGAACCTAAATATAAATTTTAATATTGAAAATACTTTATTATGTAGTCCAAACTTCAAATAATCATATTAACAATACTTTTACGACAACATGATTAATAGGTTATGAATATTTATATATCATTTTATTATTATTTATGTGAACAAAATAATTATTTTATTTCATTTTTATTAATGTACGGTAAATATAAGGTTTTCAGAATCGGAACGTCATCGAAACGATCAAGTTATTTTATTAAATCATTTGTGGTTGTTCAGATTTTAATACATAATACTTTAATATATATATATATATATATATAGTACTTTTTGTAATAAATTTAAATAAAAAGTGTTACTTAAATATCTAAACAATTTATAAATTCAAATGTTTAAACTAATTGATAAACAATTTATAAATCTCTATTTTATTTAAATATGTAATTTTATTTAAAATAATTTTTAATGTAACAAAATTTGTTTAGAAAATCGTATTGATCCTACCAGTCCAACATACTGATGTTGACGGATTCGATAGCATATATTTTATTCAAGCGCAATATACTGGTTATAAACCTGTTCTCGGTCCATCCGGTCGGACTGTGTCCAACCCGGTTTAATTTAAAAATAATGGATAAATCATGATTAATGTTATTTATTTATTTAATTTATAATACAATCAAAATATTGTTTTCCCGTGCATCGCACGGGCCACGTACTAGTACTTATATAAAAGAGGATCTTATTTACTACATTTAGTATCCAAAAAATTCAACAGCATTAAATGCCATTACTATTTCGGTATTAGAATATTTTATAATCATTATAAAATATTTTGAGGAAGACAATTTATGAATTCACTTAATAATCTCATTCATAGTTATTAGGTATTGATTGGGGACATTATAATCAGATTTTTTATTATTACACATAGATTAATCATAAAATTCTAATTTTTTATATATAATTGATCAGATTTTTTTATTATTACATATAGATTATATTTTTAATTCATTATATTGCATTCAGATTTATTAGGTAATGATCTAAACATATAATGATTATATATAATTTAGGGTTACATTTATATAGATCAATCATTCATATTTTTTATAATCATTATATTTTTAATCCGAAATTTTACGTACTAAAATTTACGAAATAAATTTATAAATATTACATTTTTCAAAATGAATTCAGTACGAAAAAAGTTTAGGCCAAATTTACGTGTGGTTTTGAAGTGAAACTTTGAAATTCAAAATCTCTTCTCATTTTAGTTACAAGAAAATCGGGCTGCATTCATCACTTGGACCAATTTAAAAATTATTCTTTAAATGAAGGAATTTATAGATAATTGTTATCTCTACTCAATCACATGATTATTTTCAATATAAAAAGAGACAGATTACAGTTAGTGAATCTTATATTACCTAATTCATATCTTAACATTAAGGAATAAATCCATATTTTTATGTAAATCCGTAACTCATATTATTATATCATTAAGAATATATTATAGTTATATTATCAATTCATAAAAAGATTTGGGAATTGCCGCTGTTTGCAGCCGGCGTTTGCTTCTTCTTCTTTCTTCTGCTAGTGGTGATGGTAGGAGGGGTGAGGCGGCAGTGCGGTGGCTTCGGGCAGCTTCCAG